CAGAGTTCACAAGTCTTATCTGATTTTGATGAAACTTAAAACGTATGTTTACAACCCAAACATCTCGGTTTCTTTCGAAACCATTCAAATATATCATGGTTACACCCGGATAATGGTTCGAATTTCGTGAAAATGGCCGCTACTTGTGCGCAAATAGTGGAAAAGTATGTAACGCTTTAAAAAGGTCACAGTTTTCATGAAACTTAAATAATATGTTTATATCCAAAGGATCTCTGTTCGATAAGATATTCACGTATATCGGACCAGCTTCCTGAATTATGGCCCCTGATTGTACGAAAAATCACGTTTTTAGCTTGTGGACCCTCTAGAGGTCATAAAGACGCTCTAAAGACTAAATTATAATCTAGTTGACTTATACAAGATGTAAGTGTTATGGTCATGAGACGAAAAAAAAAACCCATTGTTTTTCAGTGACAACCAATAATTACTGGCGGAGTTATAGCTCTCAATGACATTGAAAAATATTGTGGACGCTCTACAGGCTAATTACTTTATTACTTAGGTTGTTTCTTTTGATCAGCTTTTGAAATGCGGTTTTACGTTCTACTTTTCTGCACCTACTCCAGGTAATACTGAAGACGAGCATACGACATGCAGTGTGCTATGAGGGACATTTTACTTCTCAGTATTATGGTAATAGTTATGCTTCTAATGCTACTGAAAGATCAACGCGACAAGAATTTTCCAACTATAGGAGAAAGAAGGCGGGGTTTTGCCGCCGATAACCACTTTTCGTCTGAAGTCAAATTGTATTGTTCGGTCCCACAGGTAGGGGGCAGTATTTTTGTATTTTACCCAGCATCGGAAAAGATCACAAAGGACCAGTGGGTTTTGGATGTGGTCAGAAACGGTCTTCGGATGAGTTTTTCGAAGATTCCTCCAGAAACAGGGGTAGGGTATACTCCTTTACAGGATACCAAAAGAAAATTGGTTATTTTCGAAGAAGTAAGCAGTCTTCTAGAAAAATCTGTTATAGAGCCTGTTCCCCCGAGTCAAGTAGGAGAGGGGTATTACAGATACGTCCTATTTTGAATCTACGTTTTCTAAACATGTATTTAAATGTACCTCATTTCAAGATGGAGACCATGGTTCCATAATTCAAGCACTAAATCAAGGCGAATGGGTAGCTTCGTTAGATTCAACATACGTATATCTTTACATTCCAATTTTTCGTCCCCACAGACAATTTCTTTGATTTTGTGTAGACTGAAATCATTACCAGTTTGCAACAATGCCGTTCGGCCTAGCTGTAGCTCCACGCGGCTTTACAAAGATAATGTCAGTAGTAGGGAGCTACTTACGAAGACAGCACCATCATATCTTCCTTTATCTGGACGACTGGTTAATGAAAGCCATTCAGCAAAATCTTCTGGAAGCCCGAATAAAAATCACTTTGGATCTCCTTTCAGATTTAGGTCTTCTTGTCAATTTCAAAAAGTCCAAACTTGTGCCCACTCAGAAGATAGAATATTTGGGGGCAGTTTTCAATCTCCAATTGATATGCCCAACACAGGAACGCTACAATACAGTAACTTCAGGAAATGATATTGCCAGCTCATGATGTTTACGGTTGCTGGGACTCATGGCAGCATATATCGATCTTATTCCATGGGCCAGGCTTCACATGCGCCCAATACAGTTCAGCCGTTTGGCTCAATGGAGACCACATTCAGAGAGCCATTTAAAGATGGTTTCAATTTCGCACGCTCTTTGTTTCCATCTCCAATGGTGGAGGAGGAAGGACGTTTCTTTCAGGGTATTCCTCTTGCAGGTTAGAACGACAGAAGCATATAAATTGGTTAGAACTTATGGCAGTTTTCAAAGTCCTCAAATTGTTTGTTCATCACAGACAAATCTACAGTAGTAGCCTATATCAACAAGCAGGGGGCTCATTCACCAGAACTGTGTTTTTTGGTATGGGAGATTCTCCATTGGTGTATGGATCGCGATATTCATCCGTTCGCAGCACAGATTCCTGGTCAGAGAAATGTATTGGCGGACAATCTGTCAAGGAGTCGCAGAATCCAGGAGACAGAGTGGTCTTTGGACCGAGGTATAGTACAGAGAATTTTCTTCAGAATGCTCAACTCCCAGTGTTTTGTTCCCCTTATCCACAGCAACAAGCGTGGGCTTGCGATGCCCTCTCAATTTCGTGGGAGGGCATGTTGCTCGCCCTAGCCACGCCTATCTCGTCATTGTGACCGTTAGCCTGTTTTGGACACTCGGACTTTTCTCCATAAGCAAATAAGCTTCGTCGTGGATCCCATATAAGGTATAGGTTCTAATATGCTAAGTTGTATTATGCATTAAGTTCTATAAGTGTAATGGGCAAAATAAATATTATACTGTATTTTGTATTATTGAAAAGTGTATTCTGTATTTTAACACCGCGACATTGGTATTGTGGAGCAATGAAAATTGCAAATTTACGTAGGCTTATTTGGAACTGCTGACATATGCATTTTGCACTGTAAACATTGAAATAATATTGGCAACCTTATCCTTCTATATTTTGGCGCTCCTCTGGGTCCACGATCTGGTACGTGCAGATACGTTCGGATACGATCAACATGATTGCAACGACTGACCTCAATGTGTAACAAGACATGATAGGATCATCATGATTCCTTTTCAAACCTTTGTGTTCATGAAGGAATACCCCTGCTGTAAAAAAATTATTGAAAGTAGTCATGTTTGTGTCGCGTGACATGGGCGACTAGATACCCAGTGATTACGTTTCTAGTGTAAGGAAAAATTTGTAATATAAGAATCTTCAATGAAAAAAATGGAATTAAACAGTTAGAAGGTTTAATGGATCCATGTGATTTAAAGCGTCGACACATGGATCCAAAATTTTCACAGTCTACAACAGAATACAATACAGAACAGCTGTATTCGTCCGCAAAAAAAAATAGTATTGCCGTACTTTGAGCTCCAAACCCGATAGAAATGAAGGCGAAAGTGGCCATAATAGTTTTAGAGATCACTACGTGATGGCGCTCCTGCGTCGCGACAAACGGGGCCGATTTTTCTAGCAACGGGTGCGAAGCCGGGGAAGAATTTATTGCATATACACGACGATGTCTTTAATCGCTGTCCATTTATCATAAATATCAAAGCCTAAATTAAATTCTCGGATTATCCACTGTCCACGTGTTGTTGTTCTTCGCGTTTAACGCCAGCTACCACCGAAGGTGATATCGCAGGCATGTCGAATGTGGCTTTTATCTCAGAAACTGTTGTACGTTTAAGCTCACCACCAAGTTTATCAGCATAAATATTAAGCGCTTATTGACGCTGAGACATCAAACAATTTTCGCGTGCAACTTTTCACGTCACTCGAGCGGACATCCCTAATCGTCGGGTTGCAGTTTAGGGAAACCCTTACATTTTTGTCCTGTATGCGCCACATGGGCATTTTCAGCGAATCCGGTATTTTTCTAGTAAGACTGGATGTTTTTACTTTCCATATATACCAAAATTTCCATACTTTTATTGGAAATAACCAACCGATAAATACTTTTATGGGAATGTAGCTTTAAGCTGTCTCCATTAAAGATGGGTTCCCAGAAAAGTATTTATCGGGTGATTATTTCCAATAAAAGTATGGTAATTTTGGTATATATGGAAAGTAGAGATATCCAACCTTACTAGAAAAATACTGGATTCCCCGAAAAACACCCATGGAGCGTATAGAGGACAAAAATGTAAGGGTTCCCCTAATCAACCGCCCGACGATTAGGAATTTCTGAACGCGTGATGTCAAAGGACACACGCGAATATTGAGCGCCCTATGTACAAGTTGATAAACTTTATGAAGAGTTAGACGTACAACACTTTCTGAGATAAAAATGACGGAAAAAGACGCGGGTAGTGGATAATCTTAGAATTTAATTAGGATTCGATATTTGTAATAAATAGTAAGCGATTAAAGACAACATCGTCCTGTGTATGCAATGAATTCTCCTTCGACTTCGAAGAGAGGTAAGTCACGTGACGTAAACATTACCTGGTTTGATCGAATTTTTATAGCAGGACATTCTTTCGAAATTACAAATGTTTGAGAAGGATTTGAAGCAAAGTTATGACAAATTAATTAGTTTGAATATGTTTTTAGTCCATATATACCATTAAATCACCCAGTTTTTACGCGGGAACCAGTGGCGGCGCCAGGCGTCGGTGATTGGAGGGGCAAAGCTGGGGCAAAGTCCAAGGTTAAGGGGGCAAAGGCACGAGCTTCAACTAGGGGTAGGGGGCCTCCCCCAGAACATTTTGAAAAACAGGTTGCCAGAAATGCAGCCTGGCAGTATTTCAGGCATTGATCGATGAGGTAAAGTGTCAAACGAACGGACTTGCGAATCACGACGAAGCCCACTCACGAGCGTCAAAGTAGGGAGTCCTCCCCCAGAAAATTTTGAAAAATAGACTGCCGGAAATGCTGTCTTACAGTATTCTGTCAGGCACCGATCGTCGAGATAAATAGATCTACCCAGATACCGTTCGTCGCCTGATCACTAGTTTATCCGACTAGAGAACAAAATGTCAAACGAACGGACTTGCGAACCTTAACGAATTCCCCTTGCGAGCGCCAAAGTAGCGAGTCCATTAGGGACCTCGCCAAGAAAATTTTGAAAAATAGACCGTCGGAAATGCTCTACAACATGCAAGTTTATGACTGAGTGGGGATGTGGGATTTATTCACCGTAGAAGGTATTGATTACCGAAACGTATCACAAATACTTTTTTTTATTTTCTAAAATTATTGGGATGGGGGGGGGGATAAACAGAGGGCAGACCAGATTAATCCTTGCCCCCCCCCCCCGGCACCGCCACTGGCGGGAACCCATCTTTAATACGACGTTGAAACTAATCAACTTTTACACAATAATTTTCATACATATAAAAGAGCACGTCTGTTTGTTTTTGTTTATCCTGAGGATACAGTAAATATTGAAAGGGTAATACACTATAAAATCCCATTTTAAAGATAACAAAACAAGCTTTTATTTAATTTAACGGAAGTAACCAGAAAAGTATTTCAAATCCTTATAATATGTCACATGCAATATATAATAAACAATATCAATCATAAATATAATATCTGTATAACATATAAACAAATTTTATGAATAATATATTGAGCATTAGCTGTTATATCAATCTGATTAAAACACAGATCCTATTTCGTTTCGTTTTTTATATTTCAAAATTTCGTTTTATTTGTCTGTACTACACTAGGATCTGGAAGAGTTGTTATATAAGATACGTTCTGGTTGGCGTGAGGGATTAGCCAATGAAACCATCTGTTACGGCGACTTCTAGGCGTGCGATGCACGGAACTGTGTAAACCACTAGAAACGCCAACGTTGATTGATTAATCAATGTTTGGCGTCATAGGGCCAAAAGCCGCCCGTACGGCTCCTGGCGCGACCTTCCAGTACAACTGGTCAGAACTTCGTGTAGTGTAGGCCATCGAAAGTATAAAAAAACGAAACGAAATATAAATCTGTATTTTAATCAGATTTCTGTTATATACTTTACCTACAATTAATGTTATGAATAAAAATTGTAAAACGAAAAATATTATATCATTCTTTTGGCAAATGTGCAATGTTATCATTGATGATTTTAATAGTATAGTTCATTCTCCTATTCGGGCCGGTTTGATACATCCGAGACCATAGTCCGATATATGTAAAATCTATTGATATTAAAAATGTGTCATGTTACATGGTATCTTATTGGTATACCATACCATGGTTATACAAGGATTAGTCCCATTTGGAATTTAGTTCTAGTGAATTTGTTTTGTTGTTTCCTCCACTAAATCCCATTACAACCGTGCATATTCGGTTTATTGTCGGGAAATACCACTTCCGAACCCCATTTATATGCTAGCTATGATACAATTATTATCACCTGATATACATTGATTGCCACTTTTACAGCACTGTTGATGTCATGTAAAAGTGAACGGTGCGATAATTATTCAAGTACATTTAATGTTCCAATACTTCAAAGTTTTTGACTTTGTACATGCAACTATAGTGTGCTTTAAAATCCCCCCCCCCCCCAAAAAAAAAGAAGAAAATTTAGAAGTAAAGGGAAGCTTTAAATTAATTTCATCCAAACAATAGTCATTTACAAATAAAATGACTTGTATCCAAAAAAGAGGGTGAATCCATTTATATAAATGTATTTTTACTTTTATATTTATTTAGTTAAGGCTACCTATATTAAGAGCCTCCGAAAGGATCTGAATTTTATCCAGAATTTTCTTTCTTACGAATTTGATGAAATGCATTCTAGATATTTTGTTGCTAATAGAGAAGTTGTTAATTGGACCTAAAATAGAATACGTTTCTTTCAGTACAAGAATGCAAGCGCCAGGTCTTCCAAAGACATGGAGATGCATAGATATGGTCAAATTTAAATGCGTTTGAAAATGGCAAAGGTATCCGAAGTAGTGAATGAGTCAATTGAAAACAATTAAAAGATTTAGAAGTGTTTCATGTCAACAGACATTGTATGCTGTATCTTTACATAATTCTATACATACTGACAATTCGGCTTCCTTATTGATCCTTCTCAGCTTAACCAAAGCTGGACACTTCGAATGTGACCATATATATACTCTTTAAAACAGTAGGGGATATTCAGAAACAATACAAAACTGCGGAAATGCACTGATGTTTTTATTAGAGGTAACCAGTGTATGTTAATAACAGGCCAATTGCCTACACATGAACATAAACAGTTCATATTTGTTGGCTTATCTGACGGGCCCCATTTCACTCGCAAAGAGATACACTGTCAAAAGTGAAAATGGACGTTTTTGATTTTTGTCTTAATAATGAGTAATCGCTCCACCAATCCTCAGACATTCAGCAATTCGTCGTGGCATGCTCCTAATCAACCGTCCAATCAGGATTTGGGTCAGTCTGACCCACTCCTCTTGCAGTGCCACGGCCAATTCTTGCAGTATTGTCGGTTGACGTTGACGTCGACGAACACGTCTCCCGATCAAATTAAACGTAACACACTAAAGCAAAGTTACAATAAACAGTAAATCTTATGCAAGAACCGATAGGAAAGCAAACATGGATATGATAAACCAGCACACGGCAGTTTTCATCAACCCTTCCTTCAAGTGTCAAATTTGACAATGATCTCCTCCCACGGGTATGGCGCTATTGTGTGTCGCATGTGTAGCTCAGTGGTTCTGTTTGGGCGATAAGTTTTTCATCTGTCAACATACTCTCAAAGCATTTCAAGTGTCCATGACTATTTATCATATCACAATCTGCATAGGTATTTGCATTTCAATATCCCCTACTTTTTTTGAAGAGTATATTATGTGAAAACGTGCCCATTTCAATTCCCTATCGTTAATTAACATGCATGTGAAGCCATATATCTCATTTAAGGGCATACAGAGAGGGCCTTTCCCAGTGAATTATTTTCCTAGGTTCCCACTATCACGATTCGCTCTACGATTGAAATCGTGGTTTTAATCGTGGTGATTCTACCAGGTCTTATCATATATTGAGGTCTGTCGTAGCAATCTTGTTGATCGTATCGAAACGTATCCGAATGTATCTGTACGTACCAGATCGCGGACTCGATAGGGACAATCCTGTCGTAACGCATCGCACGACGGGAACCCAGCATTAGCGAGAGGGAAACTCTAGTTTAAACATCAAAATTAATAAGATTTCTGATCCGATTTTTCCATTCTTTCTAAAAGCCATACAAGAAGTCATAATGTATGAACGATAGTGTATTTTAAATTTGTCGAAAGCACGTTACCATCTAATTTTTTTTCAATTGAATATGAATTGCAAAGTACCAATAGTGCATAAAGTGTAATTATAACACATTTTGATTATAAACCCGCAAAGGTCAATGACACATTGCAATGTTGGAAGCTGGGCAAAATTGATAAGAAAAGAACCGTATTTCATTTTACACAAAATAGTTATCTGCCTGAATTCATGAGTACAAATTTGTACGAGATACAAGCAACACTATAGCATTTCAATAAGATCCTCAAGAGTCTTAAAGCCGTATCTTTGCGGGGCTCGCGTAGAACTGACGTCTTTTCCTTCAAGTTTGTTTCCGACTACGTATTCTTTACCCATTTTCTCTTGGCACCATTTAATAACTTTATCTAAAGCTGGTGTTTTCACTTTTGCCAGCTGAGCGACACCCTTGACGATAACTAGACCACAAGGTACGTCCTCATTTATATATCTATGGTTGAAATCGGGCTCGTATTTACCATCATCTACCTCTTGTACTGGATGACGATAACTGCTAAAAGCCGTGTTAGTTTTAATAGCCTGGATTAGACTGCTGTTATCCTCAATGTTATATTTATATTCTTCCTTTAGACTCTCAAAAATATGAACAACATTGGACAGAGCAACTGACGACTTCTGTTTTGTGATTTCAGCTGCCGTAAGCACCGCTTCATCACTACAGTCCGAAATAAACTTCACAGCTTCGTCAGTCACCTCCTGGTAAAATAGAGGCTTCTTTGTGAAGGGTTTTCCATCCCAATTTTTCCAAGCCGCCATCATAATGGGTGGGTTAAGAATCGACTTGGTACTTAAAATTTGTTCTAAAAAGCTATTATATAAAACAAGCTCTGGCAGTTGTCCAAAAAGATATTGTAATGTTTGTACCGGATCTTTGTCCGTTTTGCCACTACCTCTTGTTACAGACATTACCATAGATTCTTCTTTGCTAAGAATTTTTACAGATTTCCCGAATTCTACAATCCTCCCCGCCCATGGATGTCCTGGCATATTAATGATATTCATTCGTTTGGCCTTTGTCTTCAAGATGCTTAAGCATTGAAATTCGAAACCTAATTGTCCAGGGATACCAACTATGGTCATGTTGGCACTAACGTGAGGAGCAATAGCTTCAAGGTAAGTTTCGTGTAAATCCATTGGGACTGTCAATATTACCAGCTCGGCTTTGGGAATAGCTTTAGCTGGGTCTTTTGTTATAAGTTTCAACTTGACAGCAGTATCTTTCATCTCCATATCAGCATCATATGCACTAAGTATAAAATCCGACTCTTTCACAGATTTTGTCCATTGTTCAGCGTCATCATCTTCTAAAGCCAATATTCGTAAATCAGTGTTCTTCCGAGATGCGACTAGACCCGCCATGACATGGGCAGCATTTCCGCCACCACAGACGGTAACTGTTATTAGATCTTTACCAGCCATTATGATTATCTGAAATAAATAAAATAGAAAATGTATATAATAACGCTTCTTTGGGGGAACGCAGAACCGGAGTGGACTGAGAAGGAGCCTGTGAGTATGAAAGACCCGGGAGCCCTTAAAGAAGTTAATGTTCTCACGTAGTTTGGGGCTCTTTTTTTTTGGGGGGGGGGGGTGGAGGCCCTTTATAGTATTGAATTTACGTCGTTTTTGATGAATTGGTGAGACCGTCACACGCGAAATTTGTGCATCATGAATGCTATCGACATCAGGATATACCCTAGAAAGCACAATTTACCGCTCCGGGAAAAAACCCGCCCTTGGAGTGTTTTTTTCTGGGTCAGACTAAAAGGCTCTCAGCCCCCCCCCCCCCCTGTACAGAACTACATGTATATTGATATATCGACTGATCATGTCATTTGCAATATTCATTGACAACCATTATCAGTCTATACATTACATGAAAAACAACACTTGGTGTCAAAAATGAAACGAACAGGAAAATGATGATTATTTAAAAGTTGCAGATAATAAGCCATATTTTAATCAAGAATACAGAAATTGTGTTTTTTATTTCATCAATAATCAGGCTAACGTAACAGGTTACATTAAATTTTTAGATGACTGTTTTTTTTTATACCAGACTGCTGTGAATTTTAGCGGACATCCAAAGTATCACTTCCTTGCAGCGTATATAAAGAAGAGCAACTGTTATAAGTATCACTTTCTTGTAGAGTATATGGAGGGCCTACTGCTACGAGTATCACTTCCTTGCAGATTATATGAAGGAACTACTACTGTCATAAGTATCACATCGTTCTAGTGCATATAGAGAGTACTTCCCTTCAGGGATATGGAGGAGCTACCACTGTAAGTATCACTTCCTAGCAGAGTATAATAAAGGGGTCCTAACCCACGTTGACAAGTTTTCGAGATATTTGACTTCAAAGTTTATCGCTGAATAAAAATTCTGCAATTCATCAAAATTAGTGATCTTTTGACACCCCACGTGTCCAGTGGCGGCGCCACCCGTCGGTGATTGGGTGGGCAAAGCTGGGGCAAAGTCCAAGGTTAAGGGGGCAAAGGCACGAGCTTCAACTAGGGGTAGGGGGCCTTCCCCAGAAAATTTTGAAAAACAGGTTGCCGGAAATGCAGCCTGGATGAGGTAAAGTGTCAAACGAACGGACGAATCACGACGAAGCCCACTCAAGAGCGTCAAAGTAGGGAGTCCTCCCCCAGAAAATTTTGAAAAATAGACTGCCGGAAATGCTGTCTTACAGTATTCTGTCAGGCACCGATCGTCGAGATAAATAGATCTGCCCAGATACCGTTCGTCGCCTGATCACTAGTTTATCCGACTAGAGAACAAAATGTCAAACGAACGGACTTGCGAATCTCAACGAATTCCCCTTGTGAGCGCCAAAGTGGCGAGTCCATTGGGGACCTCGTCAAGAAAATTTTGAAAAATAGACTGTCGGAAATGCTCTACAACATGCAAGTTTATGACTGAGTGGGGATGTGGGATTTATTCACCGTAGAAGGTATTGATTACCGAAACGTATCGCAAATACTTTTTTTTATTTTCTAAAATTATTTGGGGGGCAAACAGAGGGCAGACCAGATTAATGGGGGGGGGGGGCAAATGCCCCCCCCCCCCCTGGCGCCGCCACTACACGTGTCATGCCGTATATTATTACGTTCACATTTTAATATTTTCCTGAGATTTTGTGGGAGATGGGTTAGACCATTCTGGTTCTAAAGGATTTTCCACTTTTTGGGGCTATAACCCACAAAAACATAAGCACAAAAATGAACAATCGTAAAGAAAACACTTTTAATTCAAGACACACTTCTATTTACCGATTAAAAAAGTTAAAAACCAGTAGTGTGTTTTAAGATTTTTTATACGCCCACAGATCTAAGTTCCTTGTGATATACGCGCATATCGGACTTTATATTTTTTTTAGCTGATTTTAATCTATTTTCATATATCACAGAAGTATGGCAAATTAGGTACATGTGGAAAGTAGACACTCCATTCTTACTAGGGTCCGTATTGAAAATTTATTTTTAAGTTAAGTAAAAATACTTAATTTTTCCACTTAGCCAAGTGTCTTACCTTGAATCGGTATTCAAAGGCTCTATTTTACATATACTTGATTATGTGAAAAACTTAACTGCACACTTAAAATATGGAATACCAACATTAGCCAAAAAACAAGAATTTTTAACTTATGGAATAAACTTCACTGCCAAAACTCACGAATTACTCACGTTGCACGCAAGTTATGTCCCCTTAAGAGCACCACTATACTCTATTAAAATCTTAGTTGTCATTACTAGGAAAATGTTTGTCGAAATATTATATTGTAACGCACGAAAATAGTATGACTATAATTTATGATAAATTATTATGGTACGCATCCGTTAGCGGAACAGATGTTTTCGTATAAATGTTTTTCAAAAACAATAGATTTCAATAGCAGTTATTAGCAATACGCAGGGCTATTGGTTTTAAAGTTAAACATAACAAATCATTCGGTGTTGTTTATCAATCTATCATTTGAGAAATTCATAGAAATTGTGTCAGTTCCTAAACTTTAGAATTCCAAAGGCCTGGCCATGACGATACATTGTAAATCATTGGTGGCACGCTTCGGTCAGCAGTCATCATCATATATTTGTAAATTTATACAAACTAAGACAAGATCATGTAGCAATCAAAACTTAAAATATGTATATGGAAATGAATTGTAAAACATAAACCACGCCTTGCTTCTCGCGGCGGTATTAATATTTTCGGAAATCTACAATGGAATGTCATCGCAAAGTCAAATTTACACATAAATTTTAACGCATCAAACTTTATTATATGACAGTCGTGGCAAACATGATTGATTAAGCAATTATGGCTCTACGAAATCAAAGCTGATGATGAAAAAAAAAACAAAAAAAACGTTTGATGTCAGCTACGCTCATTGACATTGTCTTTGTTTCAATCTCAATTCCCTAGCTCTTAAAATCGCCATTACGGGCCTGCTACTACATTGTGTCCTCCGGTTAAAAGAAGTCATTATAATCTCACTTAATTTTAAGGTACCTCCCATAGGTCACTTAAAGTTAAGTGGATTTTTCTCACCAAAACTGGCCTTTGAATACCACTAAACGACTAAACACTTATAAGTTAAGGCAGCTTAACTTTAAGGGAAAATTCGATACATAACTCTGCCTTTGAATACAACTTACCCTTAACTTACAGGAAGTTACGTATATTTAAGTGAAATCTAGTTGTTAAGTGACTATCTTAAACTTAAGATATCATTTGAATACGGACCCAGATATATACAAAATTACATAATATTAAACCTAAAACACAAAGGCTCCTACTTGCCAAATGTTTTATTGTATATTTGTGACCACATCTACAATTTTACCTGAGCAATAAGGCTCGTTCCCAAACACAGAATTGAACCCAAGAAATGTTCTCAAAAACATAACCTGACGTCTAAGATGGTAATGTGTTCTCCATGATTTTCATATAACTCATGCTGCACGTGCTGTTCACCGGGATCAGTCCTATAAAATGCACCCCCATACCTGGTTGAATCATTCACACAACAACGTCAGCAGCATGCCACGATTCACGACAGCTTAGAGGAACCAGTCGCTTGGAAGACTCGACGCTGGCCACACTGCCCAAGCCGTTGCCAATCACTTCCAGGTCAATGTTCGGACCATCTACAGGCTTCAGCAACGCCTTCGGGCCACTAACACCACGGAGGATCGCCCCCGAACTGGTACACCAAGGGTTACCACCAGGCGACTAGACCTAGCTAGACCGCCATGTTGTGCGACAGCCCGCGCAGAATTCCTTCACACAGGCATCTGGGACAGCACGACAGACAGTTGGAACACATTGAAGACCTATCAGTACAGATACAGTGAGCCGACGTCTCACCAGAGAGAACATCCATTGCCGTAGACCTTACCGTGGATCGATCCTCACCCCTCACCCCACGCGTAGCAACTGCAGATGGCAGGACCAGAATTTTGCGTCGACGTGACCAGCGTTATTCTGACCAATGTACCATGGAACGAGACTCATGGGGAGGTCCAAGCATAATGGTGTAGGTGGAATTGGCCTGAACCAGAGAGTGGGTCCTGTGGTGTTCCGAAATCTTGGTCCAGGGAGAAGAGGCGACATCACAGCAGAGCGCTACATCGATCAAGCTCTCAGACCCCACGTCATACCACATTTAGCACGTCATCGAAACAACGTTTTCCAGCATGACAACGCTCGTGCCCACACCGCCAGAGTTACTCGGGACTTTCTACAGCAGAACGGTGTCAACGTTATGCACTGGCCGATTGAACATCTTTGGGATAAAATTCAGAGGAGACTTAATAACGTGGTACCGAGACCAAACACAGCCGATGGATTACGCCAAGCTTTTCTGAGAGTGTGATTCCAGGTGCCAATGACGTTCATCAATCGTCTGGTCCACTCCATGTACAGACACTGCGCTGCTGTTATTGACACTCGCGGTGGACACACCAGATACTGATGTATAGACTGTGTACAGACTCTAAACCTTCTCGTAATGTCTTGGAATTGTGATGAATTAATCACCAATGTGTCAACATACTGTTCACAAAAAATTGCGCTGATCCATTTAGTAAGTCGTTTTCTAGAATGATTTGATTAAAGTGCCTCTCTGATTTCGAAATCGTAATGACGTTTGTATAGTTAGTAAACGTAACTAAAGAACCGGCTTTTTCTTGGGTTTATATATCTTTGATTTGTTAAGCTCTCAAGTCTATAAAAATATAATACTTAAACATGCTGATTTCAATAAAGCCTTTTCGGTTGAAAATGTACAATGTAATATAATAGCCAGTATTTTGTTGACATTCATTGTGGGGTGGGATTGTGTATGGCGCCCTAGATTTGGAACCGCCCCGTCCCCATTCACAACTTCTAGATCCGCTACTGGTAAAAACACCCATGGGGC